ATAAAATAAAATAAAATAAAATAAAATAAAATAAAATAAAATAAAATAAAATAAAATAAAAATAAATAGTATAAAATGGAGACAGAGATGAAATAAAATAGAAGCAGAGAAAAGAAAATAAAAGCAGGCTCATGAGAGACAGAAGAGAGGAGACAGAGACAGAGACAGAAACAAATACAGAGACAGAGACAGAGACAGAGAAAGGAGACAGATACAAAGAGAAGAGACAGAGACAGAGAAGAGATAGAGACAGAGACAGAGAAGAGATAGAGACAGAGACAGAGACAGAGACAGAGAGAAGAGATAGAGACAGAGACAGAGAAGAGATAGAGACAGAGACAGAGACAGAGACAGAGACAGAGACAGAGACAGAGAGAAGAGATAGAGACAGAGAAAGGAAACAGAGAAAGGAGACAGAGACAGAGAGGGAGAGGGAGAGACAGAGAGAGAAAAAATAAAGAAAAAAACAACAAAGAGAGACAAAAAGAAAAAGAAAACAACAAAACAAAAGACAAATAAAACCAAACAAAAACTCCATCTGTCCCCTTTTTAAAACAAACGCAAAAGACAGCAGCAGCAGCAGCAGCAGCAGCAGCAGCAGCAACATGTGTGCTGCCTGCTGCTGCTCTCTCGCATACAGCTCCTTATCAAGGCGCCGTAGGGTTTAGGGTTTAGGGTTTAGGGTTTAGGGTTTAGGGTTTAGGGTTTAGGGTTTTGTAGGCCCCGATAGCGGCAGGGGCCTCGCATTGGGCCGGCCCCCCGCTTTGCTGCTGCTACTTTTTTGCTGCTACTGCTACTCCTGTTGCTGCTGCTGCTGCTGCTCTTGCTGCTGCTGCTGCTGCTGCTGCTGCTGCTGCTGCTGCTGCTTAGTCTTCTGCTTCGCTGCCTCCTTGAGGGCTGGTGGCGGGGGGCGTATCGAGAGAGAAGACAACAGCTTCTGGTGGCAGCAGCAGCGGCTGCTGCTGCTGCTGCTGCTGCTGCTGCTGCTGGTCACAGGCAGCTCGACCTGCTGCACCTGTTGCTGCTGCTGT